TTTTTTTTTTTTTCAAAAACAGAACCTTATAGTTCCGTCTCCTTTTCCATTCTGGGGAGCATCAGTTCGGTTCCTATTCCCCCGGCAAGTCCAAGATAATACAATGGTTACTCACTCACGCTCCTCCCCCTTATGGCGTGAAGGCCCAGAAGACGGCATTGATTACTTCCTTGAAGAAGGATGTACCGATCTTCACCCCTGCTTAAGTTAGCCTATTCTAGGCCGCTTTTTCTTTAGAAGCTAAGTGTGTTAGCTACTTGACTTTGCTGGAACTATCCAGTCTCTTTTCTGTCTGTTCCTCACTGTCAATTGAGCCTATGGCGTGTCTCTGTCTTTCCGGGACAGAGGGTGTGACGGACTCTAATTCCCATTTCCTGTGGAGCAATTTTCCTTGAAAGTGACGGCTGAGGCCAAAACCCTAAACCCTAGATTACTGGTGTCGCGTTGACCAAGTTGGAGTAACGTCTAGAAGTAGCGTCAGAATGCAACCTTGAAAGGAGTGTCTGAAACTAAAATCCTAAACCTTAGAGATCTGGGAGGCAGGTTACCAGTTGACCGAGCTATTATCGGGAGCTTGGACCGTGTATCTTGATGAGGGGTAATGTGATGGGTAATCGGCGTTAGGATTTAGTGTGGTGTGGAAGACGTGGGTGTGTTGGGTTCGTTCTTACGGACTCCGCCAGGGCTCGATCCCTGGTCTATCTTTTTGCTGTTTCGGCTGCATCCCGTTTTCGGCCTGGCACCCTTTTTCCAAACCCCTCCTTTGGTACCGTAGGTTTTTGGACAACTGGCGCCATGCTGCAATTCGGGCGCTACTTTCAAATACCGCATTTTCAGTTCTGCCCTCGGGGCCTTTGCAGAAATGCCCCTGGTACCGTACGTGTCACTGGTACTTATACCGGCTCCCCGTACAGTACGGGGACCAGTCTCGTACCAGTTTTCTGCTGCTGTACTCGTACTCAGTGTGACTTGCTGCTTCGGCATTCGGAATCCAAGACTTCGACTTTGTGCCTTGCCACTGTGTCTGCGTCCGACCCTCAGTCGTGTCGAGTGAGTGAGTGTGTGTGTGCTCTCACTCTCCTCCTCTCTCTCTCCTCTCCCTCGGCTCTCCCTCAGCCTCACGCCCGTCACACTGGTATCGGAGCGGTTCGAACCCGCCCAACCCACCCTGCTTCGTCGCCATCACCTGGCCATCATCAGCATAATCGTCGTGATCGTCGTCGTAGTGCCACGTCATCGTCGTGATCGTCGCCGTCGTGCCACGTCATCACCGTCATCGTCGCGATCGTCGTCGTCGTGCCACGTCATCATCGTCACCATCGCGATCGTCGTCGTCGTGCCACGTCACCATCGCCGTGCCCGCCGTCCTCGTCGCCACGCCGTGCGTCCTCGTCATCGTCGTTGCTACCCCGCGCAGATAAGTAATCGACGACAATTTTTTTTATTATTATTATTTTTTTTTTCTTTTCTTTTCTTCTTCTTCGATTCTTCTTCTTCTTCTTTTTCTTCTTCTTCTTCTTCTTCTTCTTCTTCTTCTTCTTCTTCTTCTTCTTCTCCTTTTCATCTTGGTCTTCTTCTTTTCATCATCTTCTTCTTCTTCCTCCTCTTCTTCTTCTTTTTTTTATCTTCTTCTTCTTCTTCTTCTTCTTCTTCTTCTTCTTCTTCTTCTTCTTCTTCTTCTCCTCCTCTCCCGCCGTCGCGATCCCCCCCCGACTAAGATTCCCCCCCAATCCCAATCTTCCCCCGCGCG